GGAGCACATCGAACTTTCGCAAGCATTTGATCAAGCATCACAGCGCCATCTACACGCCGCAGGATCCCACGCAAACGACGTTACGTCATCATGGATTCAAAGGGCAACCAGGCAAACGCAAGACGATGTCTTCGAATGATTTCACCATCGCCGACAAGACTCTCGCCGACAGAGTCCTATCAAATTGGATAGTCAATCACGCTCAGCCGTTCACTGTTGTTGAACACGCCGAGTTCGTTGAGTTTTGCTCGACATTGCGCGGAAGCTATTCGCTGCCAACGCGAAACACGCTGCGCAATCGTGTCATCCAGCAATGGACGGATGAGAAAAATCGCGCCCGCGTGACAATTGAAGATGAATGCGGTACGCGTCGCAGCGGTACAACCAGTGACATGTGGACCTCAGCGGCGAAACGCGGATACATGGTCGTCACCTTGCACTACATCGACGACAAGTGGTGTATGCGATCTGTGATAATTGCATTCAAACGTGTGTTGTAACAGCATTCTGGCGAGAGGCTGGCCAGCCATTTCGTTAATGCCGTCGCCGAAATGTCGCCAAGACTACTCTATGGCCTGTGGTCGATCACAGCGGACAATGCGTCGACCAATCCAACAATGATAACTAAGATGAACACCATGTACCTACCAAACGCCATTCATGACTATGAGGCAGAACAGGTCGCATCGAGCGCTGCTGAAGATAACGATATTGCCGTCGTCGGATATGCGCGCACGGTCTTTCAGCTGCGATGCCTCGCGCACGTCCTGCAGCTGGCTGTCCAGCATGGATTGAAGAGCTGTCCCATGATGGACAATGCGATTGGGCATTTCCGAGAGCTCATGAAGAAGATCGTCGACTCGCCCAAGCTACTCGAATCGCTTGCCTCGATTTGCTCTAGCCTGAAGGTCGCTCAGAGAACGCCGGAGCTAGATTGCGAAACGCGTTGGAATAGCACATGGGCCATGCTGAATTTGGTTTTAATGCTGAAAAAGCCGCTCGAGGAAATGTTGCATCGCATCCGAGAGCGCCACGACGGCTTCACGTTGTTTTCGATCAAGCCATCCGACGACCTTGCGAAACGCATCGAGGAAGTGACTTGGCATGCCATGCAGGACTTCTGCGACTTCCTGAAGCCCTTCAAGGACGCGACCGCGCTCATGTCCGCGTCTGAGTATCCAACGCTGGGAATGGTGATACCAGTGATGCACATTCTTCTGCAGCACATCCATTGAGCAATCGTTGCCAACGAGGGCTTCCGTTCTCGCCACGCTATGCGATTTGCAACGGAAGTTGAAGAAAAGCTGAAGGATTATGAGGCGTTGGTCAAGCGCAGTGAGGTCATGATTGCCGCTGCGTTGGATCCGCGTGTTAAAGGCGTCCTCGTTAACGTTGGGATCAACGTCGAAGAAGTCATGACGCTGATCACCAACGACTACGAGGCTGAGTACCAGCAGGCCTACGAGGCGAAACGTCAAGTGTTGCAATCGTCGTTAGCGAGGCCGTCATTGGATTCGTTCCTCAACCTGCTCGATGAGCACGATCAAATCGCTGACGAGCCTTTTGCTGGGAAACTGAACCGATGGATGGTTCACGCGTCGATGAACATGAAGCAAAGCAGTCGTGATGTTTGCTCATGGTTTGCGGTCAATTAGGCGATGTACCCGCGCATTCAGCCTATGGCGCGCGACTATCTGGCTCTGACCGCAACGTCAGTGCCGGGTGAATGCGCGTTCTCGCGTGCAGGAACGACTATCAACAAACGTCGTGCTCGCCTTGGCGATGACGCTGTGCAGGCAATATGCGAGCTGCAATCACTAATGGCGTTCAACGCGAAATCTCGACGTCGTGACTGATTATTCGTGAGCGAATGGACCGATAATCGGCAGGACAGCGGTTTAATACAACATCGTTTAAGAGCGTATGCACCTTCCTACGGACGGTAACAAGTGTGCATCAGTGCATTAACGGTTCTGCTATTTCGATGACGCTCCTCGAACCGGTTCTAACCGGTTCTAACCGAGTCCGTCGCTGGGCCGAACTGATTGGAACCGGTTCGAGCCGAACCGGTTTGATTGAACCGGTTCGAACCGGTTGAACAGGTTTCGACCCGGTTCGGGTCGAACCGTTGACATCTCTACAAGTGATTGATGGAGTCCGACAAGCTCATAGGGAAGCTTGCACGATGGGCTCTCATCTTATAGGAGTGTGACTTCCAGGTGGTGCATAACCCTGGAGTTGCAAACTTGGATGCCGACGGTCTGAGTCGGAACCCGTGCACTAGCCAAGAGGATGACACTGGAGCTAGATGGCATGGTGAGGCTGATGAGGAGATGGTGCCCAGTTGGCATGCATCTGGCATCATGTGTTGGTTGCGTGGAGACTCTAGTAGGAAGGATCACTTGACATATTGGTCTAGGTTAAAGAGTGGATATTCAATCTTCAAATCCTGAGGTTGAAGATGGTGCTACGGATCAGCGTGATATTCACGATGATGCCTTAGTGTTGGAGTTCATACGCACGAGTATGGTCCCAGACACAGTGGGTGCTAAGGAGCAAGATCGTGTTCTCCAGCGGGCGAAGAGATACCGATTGGAGGGATCACATGTTCTCCGAGTGTTGGAGGACGTAAGAGTACAAGTAGTACCGCATCCAGCTCAAAGAGCGCGCATCGTGCAATATGCTCATGAGGAGTTGGGACATTTTGGAGTGAAGAGTACATCCAGTTTACTCCTTGGTCACTATTGGTGGCATGGTATGCATACTCATGTTGTATAGTTTGTGATCGGGTGAAGGCATCGTTCAATGCCCTTACGCTAGAGTTACATCCATTACCCATAATGGGATTGGGTTACTTTTGGAGTTTGGACTTTGCTAGACCATTACCTTTGACTGTACGACATCATCAGTACGTGTTGGTGATGGTGGAGCATTTCTCCAAGTGGATTGAATTGGTGGCATTACGTGACAAGGCAAGTGATGGAGTAGCGTATGCTTTCCTTGACAGGGTGCTTAGTCACTATGGTGCATTAGCTGAGGTGTTGACAGATCACTGGATGGAGTTTCAGGGTGAGTTTCAGGTCTTGAATGACAAAACGATGATTGATCATCGGACTACGTCGCAAGATCATCCCGAGGTGGATGGTCTGGCTGAACGTGTTGTACAAATGATGAAGAGGGCATTGCACAAGTATGGCCTACAAAATCGGCATCTTGGAGACCGGGATATTCAATTACCATGGTTGGTCATGGGATATGGTTTAGTCGTCAAGCATCCTTGGCTTCCTTCTCACCATATTTTATGTTGTGCGGCCGAGATCCAGACTTGCCAATATCGATTTGTCGTCAGTCTAGCGATGTGGTGAACCTTGATGATCCAAACATGTTGGTGAGAGTTTGTTCTCAACGTGCAAAACTCTTTCGGAGAGTTATGCCAACAGCGTTTGAGATTCTTGCGATTGCTCAGCATACTGATACGTTGGGATATGCAACCATTCGGGAAGGAGGTTATCGACCATCGATTCGTAGACTCCATGTGTGAGACTACGTCTATCTATAGCTGACTGCACCGACGACATTGGATGTGACGGCGGGACGCACTATCTTGCGAGTGCGAGATGTGTTATATTCTGGAGTTCTTCTGTGGAGGGTCGTGACAATGTTGTTTGGAACGATCACGTGCGCAATTGTGCGCCATGTCACATCCCAAATGTGGATGGACTATGGATCCAAGCTTAGCAATAGTACGTGTTGGCTTGAGGTGCATTCTCTGTGGATCAGCTGGTCAAGCCGCCCGTATGTTTATGTGTGATAGATGTTCTAGGGGATGGCACATGTCGTGCCTGACTCCACCTGTCAATGTTGTTCCGGCTGGACGACTGGTTTGTCCTTGATGTACTTTAGAGAGGTAGATCACTTGATCTTCACATGTTATGAATTGCAAATATGCGACTAACGAAGGGCGACATAGCACCCGGTTCTATTGGTTCGCACATTCACAAAGGTACATAACATGTAATTGTACATAGTTAGGTTTAACTGGGAGTTAGAGTGACCTAACTGTCAGCTCGGGAACGAGTTGTGATACATTTGAGTGTGTACGCTATCGTGTAGTATGTATGTGAGTAGCATGTCAGCGATGTAGAATCTATAGAAATATATTTCCGCACGACATCTTTTGCTATGCACTTCCATAAATCAACATATAAACTATCAAGCAAGAACTGTAAAGCATAACCTCTTCGGACAGTATAATGATGGTTAAGTACACTGCGAATGCAGGATTGTTAATGAGCCACATGAATCGAAAATCTACACTTAGTGTCTAAGCTCAGTTACTGGTCACGGTTAAGAAGTAAACGAGACTGGATATAAAACAAACAGTTAACCTATACGAAGGGAAGATCATGTAAATTAAATGTGTGTTGTGGGGTATAGAATAAAAGGTATGTCCTCTTGAAACATAATAGCAATAAGTGTAGATCAATATTGTCAAGAACATAGAAGCAGTTATGAAGACATGGAATGAATTCAGGCGACCCGGACGCGCACCGTGAGTCACTAAGCTTCAAGCATGATCGACATGAGGAGGTAAAGCGGAAATTAAGTAAGTATATATATACATATTCATTTCGACGCTGAGAGACATTACACCCAAAAAACCACCAGCAAATATTAAGTACCATATCGACGTTGAGAGACATTACACCCAAAAAACCACCAGCAAATATTAAGTACCATAATATGTGATGTTACCAGAGATATCGTACCAGTCAACACAACGTAATCCATGTCATCGATCTGGCTAAAACTAAAACCTTGAGTGGCAAGAGCTTTGCTGAAAAAATCACCCTTTCTTAAAGCAGAGGAACGCGGAGCTATCTTTGAGGGAGGTATCCACCGGGATTAGAAGATTTTGGACCAATATTTCCACCGTAAGTGCGACGTGGTGAGTGAAACTCTGACTGAAACTTGATTAAAAGTAAAGAAGGATGATGTTTCCATTATTTGAAATATTGAAGTCATTTATACAAAAAGGTACATCAGGCAGTAAGCCTTCCTCAAGGGCAATGTGGCACTAGAACGAACAATATACAAGAGCAATGAAGAAACTCGAAGCCAAAATTGCCACACTACTTCTTTGGTCACTTACATCCCGTACAATTCACATTCACTCCATTTGCTACAAAACTTTCTCCGAGGTTTCATGCTGAGACGGTCAGGAGGCTGTCCACCAACCCGAGGTACTCAAATATGGCCTCTCCTTCCTTGTCGACCTCCAAGTCATACTCTGCCAATGGATCCCCGCTCAAGTTGGCTGCAATCTCCGTCTCCATTTCCTGATCACGTGGATCCATGTCCACCGGTGGGGTGTCCAAGCCTCCGAAATCAGGAGTCTCTGCTCTTGAAGCCTCGCCTGAAGCAACAGAACTACTCGCCACTTCTGTGGACTCTCCCCCCGAGGTCGAAGTCCCCTCGGCATCTGCGAATTGTCCTTGGATAAGTCGCTCGATCGCTTCATTGGAGTTCGCTGTAACCTTCAGAGCTCGAATAACTGCAGCCAGACTCATCAATCACATCAAGAATCATCAGCTTCGTGCCGACTGGTTTTAGAACTCTCTCTGGACCCCTCAAGGCCGCAGAGCGCAAGGTAGATAAAGAGAACAACCCTCGACTGGGTACTGCATCATTTCTTACGTTAAAACAAGCAGATTCATCGTCCCCCGAGCTCTTGGGTTTGGTTAATACCTTGCTCCCTCTCAAAACCCATCGACAATAGCATTTCGAGAACTGCCTCATCTACCGGCGTAGAACTCGGCTTTGTGGATGATGGCTCAAGCAAAGAGATCTGACACAAGGGCAATCCGCAACAAGGTGCACAGGGAGTTAGTTAGTTACGAAGTAACACTCGCTGACCTGTGAGAGCGATTCACGTTTGATACTTCGTAGAACGAGAAAGTAAGGAGATGAAGCAGCAAATCCCTTGCATCATGTTCTCATCAGAACCATTAGCCACCTCCTTATACTTTAGGACGTCCCCTGTCAGATATCACTCAGACCATGGACTTCTGAGCTTAGTGCGCTTCCATCATAATCATCATCATATTGCTTACTAGAGGTAGACGGTCTTGGCAACAGGAAAACTGCGGCGTACCTGCAACGCAGCGAAAGTTGCTGGGTTCGACAGCATGTCAAGAGCTAGTTGAACAGAATTCTCACTTTGCCGAAGCGCTTCAGCGACCACTTGCCGATCGTACCTGATGGCACCACGTCCAACATATGGCGGATAATACTTGAGAACAGGTGACAAAGATTACGTCTTAAAGTATCAGAGGCAAAACTCAAAACCACGAATTTCTGAATTATCAAATACTTGACTTGAATCACGAAAAAAGATGAGGATGTTGGAATCTAAGATCTAGGTTTAAGTAGAGCATATTCCCTATCGAAGACATGCTAATGCTGTAAAACACTAATGCTAATCTGGTAGGGCATATTGGAAGACGAGTAGAATACCCGATGGAGGCCAATTCATTCAGCATTGTCATGTCTACGGCCTTCCCGGACATTGTCTTTCCGTACTTCTTCTGTTCCCTGCATTGCGAGAGAGATTAACACCTGATGTGACCGTGAAAGTTAGCCAATTACATTTGCAAAGTTGTGACACCAAATTTTTCTCTCCATATCTCGCAATTGCTGTCAACACAAGGCACAATAAATTAGTTAAGGGCAGTCGTCCAACATAGAATTGGAAGCTTTGATGGGACCGACATACTTCCGTTCTCTTCTCTGTCGTCTGTCCTCTTCCAACTTTTCTGACTTCTTCCTTCTTTCCTCCATCAAGAACTCTACCGCGCGCTGTACATCCTGACCTGACATACGCAGTGCTCTTCGTGATTCCTTAGTGGTGAAACCCATATTCGCCAACTGGGCCACTGCCTCGTCAGAAACCTGAAGCTGCAAGTACGAAACACACTTATTAGTTCCACAGATGTGCAAACACTCCAGTAAAATCTGCTTCCACTTACCATCATGCCAATGACGATACGTCGCATCATAGGGTTCTAGCAAGAGATGAAGACTTGAGGTCTGAAGAGCTGATATATTGCATTCTAACGTATCTGTACAAAGAGGAGAGTATGTATACTTTTGGTTGACTTATCTTTTGACACTATCTACATCCCGACGTGTCAACGGCATAGAAGTAATAACCTGTTGAAACTTTTGCTGTGCAGAAGTCAAGGATTGACGCGCAGCTTCAGAGCGACCACTGTGATACGCAACAACACCTTCTAAAAGTTCCAGTCTGACGTAACTGCATAAAAGATTGTCCCACCGTAGAAGTACATCAGCTAGGTTGAACCAAACAGAAGCCACCAAGGAACGAGTCTTCACAAGCAGTTATAAGTAGACTAGTAGCCACGAGCAACTTCTTGCCACATACAAAGCTAAGCAAAGCAATTTATTTTGCTAGAAAAGAAGCGAAGAGATTAGCGATCCTTACACAGCTAATTCTGGGCAGAAGCCTCCTTGCAGTACCCGTAGGCGCTCTAAGTTGCGCCCATGAGAGCGACTCAGTCCTTCCCGGGACATCGATAGTCGCTCTCGAGCCACGGCTAGTAGAGCAAGATCGCGCAGCATGAAAAAGCACCACACTGTGTCGAGGTGCAATAGCGCTACATTATCGACAGCCTTCAGTGTCCACAACAAGAATCCATGGTTAGTGCACTATTGAACTAACAGTGTTCACATAAAAAAGGAAAAATTGCTAAACTCTGTTCGCGCACCTATGAATGTAATATGCCTTTCAAAATTTTAATAACACTGGTAGCCCTTGAAAGTACCTCTAATATCTTTCGGTCACAAAGTGAGAATGATTCCTGCAACAAGATCCGAAATAGTTCTCAGCACAAAAAACTACAATTCAGCGACACAAATGCAGTCTAGCAGTTTAAAATAATCTTAGTAGATACTGCTGATAAATAACTGCTGATCTAATTATCTGAACTATTATTCTTCTGATTTTGTTTTTATAATAATCACTTCTCTGCAACAAGCAAAGACCAAACATTGCCCAGAAACATAATAAATACAGACATTGCTCCTATCAATCAGTTGATCATCATCATCTCCTCTCAATCTGATATTTGTTTATCTCATGACACATCTCATAAGAATGGTTGGAGATTGAAAACGACTTATCGAAGCTGTTGGCCGCAATGTCTACTATATCTGTAAGACTAGCTAAAACAGACAAGTTCTCGCCATGAGCTTACCTCAGACATTGAAAGAACTTCCAATGCTTCGGTGAACTGACTCTGTTTGATTAGTTCTTGACCTTTTGCATGTAGCATCAAACCCATCTTAAGTGCCCTGTTATTTGTCACAAACAAAATAAATTATGTTACGTCAGGGGTGATGTCCCTCTACTCATGGTCACGTTCGGAAAATATGATAAACGATGGCGACAAATTATAAACATAACAAAAATTGTGAAATCGTGAAAACACTTGATAATCAGATTGCTATTCTCATGCTCTTCATGTAAACAGCAACATAGATCTTCATGAAAGAAGTTTTTATAAATGGGGTACAAAAGAAAGTCATTTGATCCTTGCCTCTTGTCATCTTCTGAGTTGAACCTTAACCTTTCACCACTTTGATTTTCAAGCTGCATATCGTAATCATCAGTTGCAAAGCCATCCTCATTGCTCCTTTTTGCCATTGCATCAGCTGCCGCCCTGCGTTTACAAAGGTCGAGCAAGATATATAGGTGTTAACCTACACATGAGAATAAACTTGCTTTATGCTCATCTTTCGCTATGATGGTTGATATGATGAGGTTTGAAAACACGACGCTCGATGACAATAAACAGTTTACTGTTGAATTTTGAATTTGCAGGACAGCAAACGATTGAAAGTTATAAAATATGGCAGAACCTTAGAGAGAGGATCAAACACATGTAATCGAATATCTTCTAAACAATGTCCTCAGTTGTGAACTGTAATGAGAATTACCCACATACAGTTACAGTGCCCGATGCATGACAATTCAAAGCCATTTTGGACGTCCATTTGAGTATCTGAGAAACATTTGGCCAAACTGTCTTCTTGACATTGTGCTTGGTGAATATGAGTGTAGAGATACTCACTTGATTCGTGCGAGCCTCTCTGACCTCTCCCGTTCCTTATTCATTGCAATGGCTTGTTCCCCGCCAATTCTCGTCACCAACAACTTCGAATTCTCCCCCAATCCGATCGCTTTCAAAACACCTGATTGCACATCCTTGAGATTGCGCCCGGCACTGATCAAATTGATAGATTCTACAGCGAATCCAGAAAGTCGTCCCACTTCGGCTCGCAAGTCCTTGATGGTCCATTCTTCGAGAGGTACTTCAACCACTCCTGACCATGCCCCTGCTACTCGCAAGCAAGCCAGCTTCCGGCTAGGTCCTGCCCCTTGATCCCCCTCACCCCCCATCGTTTGACTCCGGCTATTTCACTCACTACTTTGCTCCAGTCATACCAATTGTCTCTCTCTTCCTTCGCTTCTGAAGGAAATCACTCCACCCTTCCCTCCCTCCGTCCCTCCCACACTTTCCACTGATTGCTGAATTTTGTCCAGTTTACTCTGAAATTGTTTTGTCGTCGATAGAAGCTTTTCTACGAAGATTGGTGGTCGAAATTCCGAGCATTCATACGGGAAGAGGGAGAATCCGATGCTCGCAATGCCCGCACTGCGCATAATTGGGTAACATTTCCAGCCACGCCCAATTCTTCTGTCAAATCGGAACGTTTACCTCTAAGAGGAACGGAATAACAATGAAGCCAAAAACAGAGTGGGCAAGATTATAACAACGAGAGAAATTTAAAGCGTCACTCGGCCATCACTTCCTCCGCCTCCTTCTTCTTCTTCGCTCACCACCCTTCGAAAGAGAAAGCGGAACGACGGAGAAAACTTCTATCGCTCGATTGGCGCTTTGAAATTGGCGCAGCGGTCACGAATGACATTGACATGCGTGGCGCTCACGATCGAACTCACGCCGATCGCATCTAAACACGAAATTTTGCGGCCATTGCGCCCGATGACTGCCAGACGGATCGACAGACAGACCGACCTACCGACTGTCTGACTGACTGACGGCATGCCGAGCCTCAGAGCTCTCGTCGAATCTTATAGAGATGAGCACGACGGCCCCGCACGAAGGCATGGGATGGCATCGGCACGGGAGGGGCGTAGCAACGTTGGGGCAGCCCGGGAGCCCGGGAGCGTGAGAATGACGAAAAGAAGGTGGGCGACAAGAGTCTTTCGGTCCTTCGTTCCCCCTGACGAGAACGACCAAGACTCTCGCGACTTTCGCGACTTTCGCGATTCCATCGTCGCCAGTCAAACTTCGGACCAATGGATGATGACTCGATTCATCTCCGGTGACGGGCCGGGTCGTGGGCATCGTTGACTTCCTATTGACCCGATTCATCCTCCTCTCCGGTGGCTTCTCGAGCCCGCCATCTGTGGAAGAGTTTGACCTGCTTTAGCAGGTTTCCGGGGTCCTCCTCGTCGTCGTGACTCGTGAAAGATTCAAGCTCCGTCCACTCCGTTCAGGCGCTCCGCTGGAGGGCCTGAACGGAGGAAAAGGCGGTCGGGATGGTGACCATGGTCCGTCCTTCTTTCGGGTCCTCTTTTCCCTTCCTTGTCATCAAGGATCTTTTATCTATCTGTCTATCTATAGAAAAAGTGTTTTGTTTTTATAGCTTGTTTACTGTTTTTGTAAGTGAAGATATGGTGAATATTAATGGGCTCTTTTGTTGTTATTCTCAAAAACTACAGCATGTTTTTACAGTTGATGAAATCAGACCTAGACCCTATGACGTCTAAGGGACTAAAATAGCAAAAATAATGGGAACTTCTAGTCAATTTTTAAAAGTATGAAATCGAAGGGGAAGATGGGTCTAATCCCCGATAGCCTTACTGCGGGATATAATTTATATTAGTTATAGTATATCCTCCTAATAATGTATCGACTATTCTCCCAATTAGAAGAGAATCCTAGAAAATCACCTAATGCAGAATGTATTACCAATACTCCTTCTACAAATATAGATGGACCAAGGTTAAGACATTATTCAAAAAATAGTTTTTAAAAAAGTAATTGAGACTGCTAAGTCAAATGCACATAAAAGTCAATGTCCAAAATTTTAAATAGTTTATGTTTAAAACCTGATAGGTGAAAAGCAGCGCCGGCCCCCCCTCCCTTTCACTGGCTTTCACTGAACGAAGGCAGCGCGGAGGCCGGAAACGAGCCTCCTTTCACATCTCTTATGATGTGTTCTACGCTTAAGAAAGCTAGATCCACATGAGGTGTATAATGCATAGCTAAGAAAACACCTGTAAGTATTTGGATAACCAAACAAAGACGGCAAAATACCACATTAGCTGGCTTATTTTTTTTACCTATTTTCAGTATTTTGTTTTATATTTTCAAACTTTATGTTAGCCCAAAAATGGTAAATGAGGTTAAATTTATAATTTATGCACACTTTTTATCTTTACTGTTTCAACTTTATTTGCTGCCATAACGAATTAATGAGTCTGAGGTAATTAAGTGTCATTCTTGACAAATAATCATATATGCAAGAGTTGTAATCACGGCATCAATCTGGTCACATCTAACCGAGTCCATTGCAAGACATACCAAATTTATCACTTGTGATTCTCACTCCACTTGAGATATTTATCCTTTCGTAAAATAACAAACATACCATAAGCAATGACATCATGGGTCGCTGTACTTAGGGTATCCAATTAGATCTAAGATGTCACAACACTTATAAGTGAATAATGAAAAGACGTATGGATGTATCAAATCAGAGTAAACTTAACAAACCAATGTGAAATTTAATCAGAAAGTAATGATATATGGTCAATCCAGTATTCAATTTTTTCCATTCGATGCTTGAGAATAAACACATACCATCTTCAGATGTAAATACAATGATTCTATTCACACAAAAAATATGCACAAATTATTAAAAAATCAACAAATCTATATGTAGGACTTTCCTTGAATCTGTAATGTAAAGTAAGAGTATCAGATAATTATCTTATTTCACACAAAATCATTGAAGATGATTGTTCTCTATTGACCTTATCTGATGTATGATGTTTCACATCAAATGCTGTAAATACAATTGGAATCATTTATGCCCAATAATTCAAAGGGCTCAATCATGAAATCAATGTACATGAAAAAAAACTCATGCAAAAAAATAGATGATTCTTTTAACAATATTAAGAAATTAGATATGCTTTATTTTTTTCTCTCCTAATTACCAAATTTTTAATGTAGCAAAATTATTAAAAAAACGCAATGGCATTGGAATTTCAATTGTAAAAAAATATTTAAAAATTTCATGATGACATTCATTAATCTAGAAGTTAACGTTTAGATAATAAAAATAAAAAATCAAATGTAAATTTTAGAATCTTAGCTCATAATGTGTATTTCATCTCCTAACAAAAGAACAGTCAGATATAATAAAAATTATAGAGAAAAAAATTCAGAAAGAATCATGATTAAAAAATATCGAAAAATCAATTTTTTCAAGTACTAAAGAAAAAATATAATTTAATAACATGAAAATCCATGTTGGTAGAAAAGAAGAAAAATTACAAAACATATAGTGCTGAATTTTGAAGAGAAATACATTTTGAAAATATCATATAAAAATGTAAGTTTTGTAAAGATAAATACAAAACAAACAATTTACTTTACTCTTTCAACATGTGCATTTGGAACTGATTAGAATTAAAAATAGATTATCAAACAATCTTATGAAACAACCTTATTTCTTCTTATTTGTGCTTATTTAAACTTCTTTGGAGTTATATGTTGTTAAAAGATACAATGAGATTGAAATATTCTTATAAAATGGATGAATAGCCACAAAAATTTCCACATACAATAAAATTGAAAAATTTACATATTTCTATCATTGTTAAATTTTGCTCATCATCTATTAATGAAAAAAAACTAGCAAACAATTCAAACATATAACTTTACTATGCTTGAAATTAATACATAGAATGCTCCTTCAATGCTCATGCAATGCTATTATACTATTGCTTGTCTTATTGAAATTTAATTATAAAAATATAAATTTTAGAAGACATAAATTCCAATTTTGAATTTTTCATTAATTTTATTAATAATGTGATGCAATTAAATCCTCAAAATTTTGAATGTTAGAATATTAAGAAACCAAACAATTTTTCAGATTTTGAAATTGTCTAACCATCAATTTAATATCATTTGAGAATATCAATTATGTTAAATCAACTGTGAAATTCTTTGCAAACATCAAATAAGAGAAAAAATAATTGTAATTTTTTTCCATCAAATATTATAAAAATCTTATAAAATAACTATGCACCTAAACATAAAATCAACCATGTTCATATTGAGATGAATATAATTGATTTCATAGTCAAAGAATACAATCAAAACAAATAACAGAAATATAAATGTAGATTTTGTAATCCTAAAATCCAAATATGATGTGATAATTAGTCTTATGCACTTATTTCAAACTATTCAATTATCTAAATTGTGAATTTTTTTCAATGGATGCATTTTGCATGTCAAAAGATATTTATGAAAAATATTTTATGAATTATTGTGGCTAATTGAAAATGCGTAAATTCATAACTAGCTTGCATAAATGATATATTAGAAAAAAATTTCATTTAATCTGAAAAAGTAAACACATTCATTATACATTGTGAACAATGCATTCTATCATAGGTAATACATTAAGAAAATTTGAATCTATAGATATTAGCTTAATTGAAAGAGGATCATGAAAGAGTATTCTATTTTGATAAACAAAATCTAAATGTCAAATCCTACTAAAAAAACAATAACCCTTATCAAATTAAATGTATTACATTATATTTACATAATCTTACTGAAAAAATATCTCATTCATCAAGATTTTTGATATTACAATATTCTAAAGAAAATAGTATTTTACATTAATAATTTATTTATCAAATAAAATTTGATAAAATAAAAAATATAACATAAATAAATCTAATTTTTTTATATATTTATAAATCTGAACATATACATAGTTTGAATGTAATAATTAATTTTATAAGAAAAATAATGAATTTTCTAATCTCTTATTTTTTATGTGTATTGTATGCTTTGATATTTATAGTTATAAAGTTCAATATCAGTAAATATACAAAATATTTAAAAATAAAAAATTATCTTACAAGAAATAATGATGTTAAATAAAAATAATAATAGAAAAAGTATTTTCATTTTTTAACTTGCTATGTATTTTGATCAAAAATTTTCAAATGTTAAGTTAGCTTATGGTTATTTAAAAATGAATTCAAGAAATTATAGAAATTGTTAGATTTTTGACACAATCATTCATATAGTTTTACAAAATTTGACGTTATGTTGCCAGATTAAAAAATAATCTTCAAATATTGTTTACAATATCAGGTATTATGTTGTGAAATTTCAATTTTTATCAAAAATATTTTTTGATGAAAAACATGAATCTTTTGATACGAAAATTGGAAAAAAAATTGGATTTGAAATTGAAACATTATTCATGTACATTGAATGTGTTTACAAAAAAGTTTAGAATTCTAATCTATGCCAAGTTTTTTTTAATATGTTTGAATCTTTCTGATTAAGCATTTAAAAGAAAAAGTGTCAACATATACAATCTATAAGTTTATGACCTAGATCTTTTCATGCATTCAAATAACTCAGATATTCAACAAATATAACTTGATTCTTTGTGTTGAGACATGTGTAACACTGAGTTTTCTCTGTATGAGATGTGTTAACTGTTTTTTTTTCTATCACGTATACCTAGGCATGGTTTTATAAGGCGACCGTATATACGGTCGCCTAAATTAACTAAATTGTTTGGTGATTAGGCTCCAAATTAAAGTAGGTGTCATTTGACGCCACATGTTGCAATCAATGGGGAGGGGACGCTTGTCACTAAGGACTACTCACAATCTGGGGAACACAAGCTTTGCCTGGGAGGGCTTTTTGCCCGCCCAAGTCCACAACCCGACCTCTCGACCTCCCGCTTTGACCAGGGAGGGCCGCCCCGCTCCATGATTTAGAATTTAGGGGTATCGGGAGCCCTTAGTGGCGAGGGTAGCCACTATATTAACTTGTTTAATCCGTGAAGGTCACATTACACATTACACTCCGTGAGTGTGCGTTACATCACACTCCGTGAGGATACTTTACATTACGATCCGTGAGTGTTAAATTGCTAATCAAAGCCCTTTTTGACTCTCCTTACAACACAGTGAACAATTTTGGCCTCTCCCTACTTCTATTCTTACTCTCTTCTCAAGGTATGTACAACTATCTATGTTTCTTTATTCTTCATTCAATTGTAAAATGCAAGCCACTTTCTTTTAACTCTACATCCATGC